ATTAACAGGAGAAGCAGCGCAAGGGAATTTAGACACTGTTGTCGGACAACATGTGGTAATTTATACATTTTTAAAATCAGGTTGGGTCCGGATCATGACCGTGGTACGCTAATCTGTGACCTCTGCCCTAGACTAACTGTGTTTTCACACCAATAAATAATTTAACCGTTTTATTTTCGATTGCTGCCATTTGATTTTGTTTTATTTTCCAAAAAAAAAAAAAAAAAAACAACAACAGAAGAGGGGAAATGAATAAATACAGACCAAACATAGCCGGAGTGAATGCACTTTAAACTTTAACATTTATCACTTCAAATGATCCCAAAGCGCTTTAATCTAAATTCAGTCTTTCACAGTTTCATGTTGGATATCCTCTTTCTAAATAATGACAATAAAGCCTATTTTGGTTTGGATTGTACATGGTAATAAAACAGATCTCATCTTGAACCCAACACCTGCTCAGCCATGAGAAATGTAAAGAACTGATTTATGTAGAGTGAAAAGATGCTGAGGCTTCGGTACCTTTGAGTTGTAATATTTGCCTGCTTTGAAAGCCTTGTCTATAAAGCGGACTTTCAGGTCTCTCCGGAGCCAGGATGGGGGCGCTGTTCTTTGCTTGGCTTCTTTCACTGGTGGCTTATCTCTGTGCAGAAAAAAACACCAACAAACATTTCAGGAAAGGGATTCCAATGAAAGCAAACAGAACAGGATCATTTAAAGAGAAAACATACCTGTCTCGGCTAGATTCTCTGTGTTTCCTCTTCCTCTCCTCTTTGCCTTCATCCCTCCCTTTGTCTCTGCTGCTACTCTTTCCTTCCTCCTCAACTCTCTGTCTTTGTCGCTCTTTCTCCTTTTCCTTGTCTTTATGGGCCTTACTAAGCCGGCCTGTGGGTTGGGTAGAACAGTATAATTAGAATCTGCATTGATAGATGAGGGTTTGTGCTCCGCAGTGGTCGTTTTATTTTTAGGAAGAAGGTACTTTAGATAAAAGAAAATATGAGATTGTGTTATATTCTGTTGTGCATTAGTTTCTTGGTAGTTTCTTTTTTCCTGTTATGTTTAGGAGAATAAAAGGTGTTTACAGAGTACTAGGGTCACTATTTAATAATAGTAGATCATACTTGATATAGAGAAAAAATATATATCGTAATAAAATAAAAAGTCAGAATATCTTATGAATTATGAGAGATTATTTTGCTAAAAAAAAAAACTAATCTAAACAAAATTATTTTATTCTGATTCTGAATGAAACTATAATTTCTGTATGATTAGAGTCAATGAGTCATGTCATTGCCATCTAAAAACATTTTCTGATGCATTAGATCAGATTAGATCATTATTTAATATTCTAAAATCAGTTCTATGTGATAAAACGTTTCCAATATATAGTCTGCCCTACTTTTGAACATTATTTTTCTCCCCAACAACAGCTGTTATTCCACTTCCTGTTTTCCCCTTCACTGCCTGGCTACAGCGTTCTCAGCAGCTACTGGTTTAGCCTCTTTGTTGAGATTCCAGAATTCTTCTTCTCTTTAGTGTTCAGCAGTGGCGGCTGGCCAATAGAGGGCGCTAGGGCGCCGCCCCACCCACTCAATGACCCTGATTAAGACATTAACCTCAAAGTGGGTTTTAAGAGGCCTTAAGTGGGGGTAATAACTCAGAATGCATAAAATTCAGCCGGTAAAATTTTTACCAGCAGGTGGAGCCATTGCGCTCAGCTCCAAGCTGACGCCAAAAGTCCCATACCGCTCTGGAACTGTTAAAGCTAGAGGTCCGAAATTTTCTGCATTTGTGGTTGACATGATGTGGAACAAATATAATACAATAAAACCTGCTTTTTCTAAAGAATGTCTTTATTACTGCCGTTCAAAAAAACAACTTTGAGTCATGTTGCAGGTTGGTCTGTGTTCTAGTCACCCAATTTATATATTAGGAAACTAGAGGGTGTTAGCTTTTAAATAATCTATTGCACATGTTATTTGGGCTTACAGTTCCTAAGTTATTTGCTTTTCCATTTGGGTATGCAAAATAGGCAAGGATTACCCAAAATGAGGTGGATGTTAGGAGGTTAAAATAATTTTTTGTAAACAAATTTTTTAAATTTAATTTTAAATTAACATTTAAAATATTTGGAAGTATATTAATAAATATATTTCTTAGATGTATGAGATAAATATTTAATCTTTAATGACTAGTAAAGCATCATTCCATTTTTTGTCAGATTGGTGACGTATTTTCCGCCCTGGGTCGCAAAAATCTTTGCCCGTTGACTCTCGTTAGTAGCTGTACATGCTAGTAGCTCCTCTGCAATACAAAGGTATAGGAGACAGGAGGTGTATTTGCTGGCCACCTCCCGCCACAGTGCAGACGCTTTGCGGGTGATTGACAGGTCGAGTTGCGGGAGTAAGAGACACATTAGAGAGAGATAGAGAGAGAAATGGTGCAAGAAATGTTCTTTTACAGGACCTGTTTTAGCTACAAGACTTGGCTAACTGCATGCAGCGAAGCTAACGCTGTGTCCTGCTTTCCCTGCCTTCTGTTTCAAATGTCAGGATCTGACCCAGCATGGATAAAGACAGCTAGGATTGATTTGAAGCACTTTTCAGAAAAGGCAAAAAAGAATGAACAATCTGGGATTCACATGGAAAATAATATAATAGTTTACTTTTTCTAGGTGTTTTTTATTTGCATAGTTGCAAAAAAAAACACCTCAGATAATCTCTTCTTCTCAGAAAATAAATATTTTTTATATATTGAAAAGATGTTAAAAAAAATTATAAAGCTGACCAATAACTTCTCCAATATTAAAGGAAAATTCCGGTTTTTAACACTTTTAGCCCCTTTTCTGTAGTGTCCAGGATGAAATCGAATGATCGACACCAAAATTTTGACGATTGGTCCTGTCTCGGCTATTTGGCTCATGCAGAATCCCCCCAT